GAGGCACGCGTGGTTCACGCTCGAGTGTGAGAAAATTAGAGACACAAATGATCTCGCAACAATGCGCCTGAGGCCCTCCTTGCAACCGTTTCAGTTACAATCCAATCGGCGGGTAATAATGTTTGAGATAGTTGAGGCTGATTGGAGTGTGAGAAGGTATCACTGGCTCGTGATTAATCGGCGTTGGACTCCCTCATGCGGAGTAATTCTATTCCAATGCTGCGGGGCACTTTTGAAGGATTAAAAATGTGGAATATTCACCCGAGAATTCTAATTATTCAATTGAGAGAAAAGACCGATTTGGATGAATGAAATTTAATTTTAAAATTTGTAAGAACGCCTTGAAAGTGAAAAAACATCGGGGAATTTCACTCTGGCGTTCTCGAGTTGCTGACGATTTAAGAGGATCTGTTTTAATCTAATCTATTCAAAACAAGTGGGAAATTGCTTCTGTATTGTATGTAGTATAGTTATTTTTGCTAATAAATTATTTTGCACGCCATTTCCGTCTATCATGTATAATTCATTGTTTATTTTATTCTATTGAGTTGAATAAAATTTCCTATTACCTAATTTTGTCACAACCGATTGCCTTTTTTACAGTTCTATCTCTCCCCTCAGCCCTTCGATAAAATGTTGATAGAAAAATTTTATTTATGCATACTTAAATAAATTTGAAATATCACAAAAAATCCAAAACTTAAATTTGAACGATTACAATGCTTCCATTCGGAAAAAAATGATTATTTTTAATTAAATTTTGAAATGATCCTCAATTATTTTTGAATAGTTTTCCTTGAGGGGATAAAAAATATTTATGTATCGTTTATTTACTCATTTATGTATTGACACCCACATTCAATAGAAAAAATCACGCGAGAATAGGACGTCTCGATTTTATGACATCAAATTGAAATTCCTCCACTCCCTTCAATACTAAATTCCCATTCAAAAGAATTAATGATCCATAAAATCGTTGAATAACGCTGGGAAAAATGTCGTTAAATCCCTCATTTTTTAGGGAAATGAATGCCCCGTGTGTTTTTCGTTTCCAACCGCGAGTTCTATTCCAGTTCTAGATAATAAATTATGCACTCAGCGGTGTAGCATTAAATAAACGTTGAGTGCATACCACGAATGTAAGATTGAACCACAAAAAATCTCTCACACTCTCCAATGTAATCCTATTTATAATTTTTTTTCACGCCAAAGTACCGAGAAACGCAATTTTCTTTTCCGGTGCAGGTGTAAAATGAATTCTCACACCTGGTTGACGAGGGAATATAATGAACTGTGGGAGGCTATTTCATCCAGACGCTTTGGCATGCGGTTGTGCGTTTTCTGAAGTTCACGAGATGTTTGAGGATTATATTTTTAGCCAGAGGTGATTGACTGACTGCGATGATTTACGGATGTTGAGACATCAAAAGAATTCCAAATGATTTATGGGGGAAAATTCCGACTGCCAATTGATTGAAATTGAGAATACATTCATTTCTGCGTGAGAATAATTATCCGGATCATGAAGTTATCAGGAATTCAATATATTTTGCTTCGTTTCCTTCTGTCATGTATAATTCATTGTTTATTCCATTTTATCAAATTGAATAAGATTTTCTTTTACTTAATTTTGCCACATTTTCAACTTAGTTGAATGTCATCAGCATTATTATTCTTATTATCCCTTTTCTATTATTACACAACCGATTGCCTTTCTACAGTTTTATCTCTTCCCTCAGCCCTTCCATAAAATGTTGATAGAAAAATTTTATTTACACATACTTGAATGAATTTCTAATGTGATGAAAACATCACATTAGAAGAAACCATCAGAAATTCATGAAAAATTCAAAATTTTCAACAATCATAAAAATCAAATCAACCAATACAACTATCGTAATCACCTTTTAACTTCGAATTAGTGGCATTAAAACAAACATTTTAAGCTATGATTGAATTCATTTGAAGCATGATATTCAAAGACATCCCCGAAATTCTCGGAAAGTCGGGGCAATATTGAATTCAATTTAAAATACATCGTCATAGAAATTCCATTGGGAAGCAAATTATAATTATTATTTATTAGCAAAAATATGTTGATTACGTTGTGACGAAAGCAATTTCCCACTGGTTTTCATAAAAATTCAACTTGAACATTGTTAAAATCGCAAATGGCCATCTTATCCATCACCAAAAACAAGTATCTGGGCAGGGCCACCCCGTCGTGACTCCACCATTCACTATTTCCCCGATTTACACCACCGATACGCTATTCAAACGAGAACACATGCCAGCTCCGATCGTTAAAATTAGCATAAAAATTGGTATCAAAGAGAAAATGATCGACACTCTCGCTCGACCGATCAGGCGTTCCACTCGCTTCAGCGGTTATTTTTAATAAAAAATAAGGGGAGAGAATATTAAATACTTGAAACCCTTATTTTCGCGAAATTCCACTCGAATAAAGCGTTTTACGAGGGGAGAGGATTCAATGGGATAAACCCATCCTGAGTATCGATCCTCCAGCTCTCCTCTCCAGCGAAAAAAAAAACACCTTTCATTTGTGGAAATACCAGTTGTGCTCCCCTTGTGGCCCTCTGACATAACACTGCACGTCAAAATATATAATAAAAATAAAAGTCTATCTGCGCACCAGCGAGTGAACACATGTCGACAAGACATTTTACGTGGGATGAATCGTTAATTGAAACTCAATGTGCAAATGAAACCAGATATCGGGTTCGTATTTTTCCCTTTAAATGGTAATAAACGTCGCGCGAGTTTTGATTGGAAAATCACAGTGTGAAACGCCAGACGTCTGATGTGTTCAATAAAAGTCAGACGTTTGAAATTCACTGGACGTGTTATTTACGTTTGTTATTCTATAATTCCGTGGGATAAAAGTCGATGTGAAGAAATGAACCATAAGATGTCAAATAGGTCATCATGAGTGGATCCATTTGTCGATTAAGCGCAGTTCTTATTTATGAGTTATTCTGCATTAATTTATTTTATTTTATGCAGTTATAGTTTAATCGAATTAATGCCGTGAGAAGAAGAATTTTATTCTCATTAATTCACCAGCATTGATTTTTTAAACAATTTAACAATTGAAAATAAATGAAGAATTTTGCAAATTATTATGCATTGACGTGAATAATTGATGAATTGTTTATTCAAAAAGTGAATTAATAATTCTGTCAATTGGAATTGAAATACGATTGAATAAAATTTGTTCATCACTCGATAAGACCAGAAAATTATTTGTATCGGATGACCCTCACCTGTCATCCGTAGTCCACCCCCAGATGGCACTCAATGAATAAATAATGATATTCACTTTAATCGTTATCTTGTCAGAATTGTCTTGAGATCCTAATCTAGTGAGGGGTAAAAATTCCCGCTATCTTAATAAGCCAGATTTTATCTGATTACATCGGTTGTCCCTTGATATCACCCGCTAATTCTAAAGGCTGATAAGGATCGAATGACTGCCTGTCGGTCTTACGACAATTGTGTGGGCTCCCAAGGTCACTGTTGCATCGCTATTTTTGCGGAAAGTGGCTTACCTATCTAATCGCGATTTAGAGCGCAATCGATCCCGGGGAGTAGTAACGTGAGTCACTCGGTGTTTGCTAATGTTTGATGAGGTACACATGGCATTCAACGAATTTCAGGGAATTGTGCACGGAGTGCGCATTACTCATGACGTTTGATATTGACCCAGATGAATAAATCTTCGTGGCATTGTGGAGTTAATTAGTCATCT